AACAAGAGGAGTATGAAGCGGAGGGCATTGAGGTAATCTTACCTAATATTTATGATGTTATAAGTTCATGAGAACACATTCACAAACAAGTGTTTCTATTCTTCTTAGTGGGAGCCTGTGCAGTTTTTTAATAACAAGATCATATGTGACCTGGTAGAGGAGAAACACAGAGGAATCATAGCCATATTGGTCTGTTAATATATTAGAGTGTAAGCTGTTAATAAAAGCCTGGGTATTTTGAGAATGTCTTTTGTTTAGGATGAAGAGTGTCTTAGGCCTGGAGATGCCACTGATCTCACCTTTCTTGAGCGACTTGAGGATAAAATGGCAAATCACCCCCACTTTGTTACGTAAGTGATTCAGCTGTTGTGATGTGATGATGTGTCTTATTTACTATATGTTTTAATTTCTCTTACAGACACAAGCTGGCAGACAAAATGACCCGCAAGACCCTGGAAAGAGGAGATTTCCGTCTTTTGCATTATGCTGGAGAGGTCACCTACTGTGTTGTGGGTAAAGAGTCTAAATTTAGAATTAGTTTTTCATACTAATCATAATTAGCTTTTAAAATATTTAAAACATATTTAATGCGTCAATACAGCTTTCTGTGACCAAAGCTCCTTGTCAAAGGCTAGTCTTGTCAGATCTCAGAAACTAAACCAGGCTGGGCATTCAAATAGCTCTTATTCAGAAACTAGAGGGACTATTGAAATAAGTAAGGTATTAGAATGTAGGAAAGAGTTCGCACTCCAATAGGGTAAAGTTTAAACCTGCAAAATTCTTTCAAGTTGTTGACAAAAAAATAAAAAAACTCATGTCGGTAACGTAGGGAATGAAATATGCAGCACTTTTTGGGCAATAAATACAAACAGCGATAACTACCGGTTGTCACTTACATATCCTTAACAAACTGGGTTGAATATTTGCTTAATATATTTTTCTACTATATGGTACAAGATTAGGTTGAAAAACCTCTTAATTTTTGAGTAATGAGATTTTTTATTAAGGTCATGGTAAAGGAGGGAAAAGTAATGGAGGGAAAACTGTGCAAGCAAGTAGAAGGTGCATGATTTTACACAATTCGTCAGCTTTTTTCTTCCGAATACTTTAATATTACTTCAAAATGAAAGGTAACTATTTCTATAAAATATGTCAGTCCTTCCAAGCAAATTTTTATCATTTTAAATATATATATATATATATATATATTTTTTGAAAAATCATGTACCTTCATCAACAGTTCAAAGATCGAATAACACAAGATATGATGAAATACATCAATTTATTTACATGATTTGCAGGTCTTTGAAATTTGGGAAATAATTTTTTTTTCATGTTGCATACATGGTCTGTTTAAAACGTATGTAACTTTAGAACCAAAAATAGTACAGAAAAAAGGTAAACAGTTTCATAAACTAGAGTACATATGCTATCTGTTGAATAAATTTTTATATCAGATTAACTTGAATTTTTGGCCTTGCTGTATACTTCTGCTTGACTGGGCCCATGTGAGCCTGCTGGGAATAGAAGGTGCCGCTGTGGGGCAGCAGTGGGAAAAAAAATGTGGTTGTTGTGTTCCTAGGCAAGACACTTCACTTACATTGCCTGGTATGAATGTGGTGTGCGTGTTAATGGTGGCCGGGGGGCTGATGGTGCTGATTGGCGGCCTTGCTTTCATCAGTCTGCCTCAGGGCAGCTGTGGTTACCATATGACGTACCACCTCCAGAAAATTGGTGCCACTCTAATTTAAAAGCAAAGTTTTTCAGTCTGGAAAACCAGTATTTTTTTATTTTATTTTATTTTTTTACATTTTATATAAGGTATAACCATTTATCTACATATTTTCTAGGTTTCCTGGACAAAAACAATGATCTACTATACCGCAACATTAAAGATGTAAGCTTCATTTAAAATTTTGTATAATTTAAAGTCATTATTTACCAAGTTTAAACATTTCTGATGGTGCTTTTGGTATTCTAGCTTATGTGTCAGTCTAAAAATGTTATAATTCAGAAGTGCTTCTCAACTTTGGATCCAGGCAACAGGAAAAGGCCTGAAACAGTTGAGTACCTGACTGTCAGCAGCAGGCTATTGTGCACTGGAGCACATGGGACTGACAGGTGCCTCAGGATTATGACCTCTGTGTGTCTGTAGGTGGCGACTCAGTTCAAGAGCAGCCTCCTGAAACTGACAGAGATCCTCATGGCCAAAGAGGCTTGGTACATACGCTGCCTGAAATCAAATGAGTCTAAGCAAAAAGGTAATTTCTCTCACACGGTCATCATAATGAATTTTTGTGCAGAAGTTTACATACCATACCATCATTTTCACAGGGCAGTTTGATGAAGCCTTGGTCCGACATCAGGTGAAATACCTTGGCCTCATGGAACACCTTAGAGTCAGGCGCGCCGGTTTCGCTTACAGACGCAAATATGATATCTTTCTGCAAAGGTCAGAAATTGAAATGATATATGTTTTATGTTTTACCATTGGTATTTAACAACACATTATTTTAGGTACAAACCTCTGTGTCCAGCTACCTGGCCTCATTGGAGAGGGGACCCTGCTGATGGAGTGGAAGTGCTAGTTCAGCATTTAGGCTATTTGCCAAATGAATACAAAATGGGGAGGTAAAGAGAGTTTACATGCTGACAGAATTAAAAGCAAAGTATGTATAGATTGTGCTTTTTTCTTTTCAACAGAACCAAAATTTTTATTCGTCATCCAAGAACATTGTATGCAACCGAAGATGCATTTGAGAGGTGTAAACATGAACTAGGTGAGTATAAATTAATAGGAATATTTTTTAAGGTTTAACAGTCATTTGTTATTTACAGCTACCAGGCTCCAGGCCAAATATAAAGGTTACAAAGCAAAAGGAGAGTTTAGAAAACAGAAAGAAGCTGGTAATAAAAATTTAGAAAAGTGTGGCATATTTAGTTTTTTTTTTTTTTTAAAGATCATGTGTTTATGAAATATTCCACCTCTAAAATATAATTCTAGCAACAAAGATTGAGACCTGTTGGAGAGGAGTTCAAGCTCGAAAAGAGAGAGAAAAAAGAGCTTGGGCTGTCAAAGTAATCAAACAGTAAGAGTGTTACTATTACATTTACAGACAGGTATTTCTGTACTGAAGGTTAATGAGGGAATTATTTTCCAGATTTATCAAAGGCTACATGACCAGAGGCCAAGCAAAAACCACAGACAACTCAGAGTATCTTGCTTTCGTAAGGCAAAACTTTTTAAACCGACTCAAAGAAAATCTGCCCAAAACTGTTTTGGATAAGACAACCTGGTACTCTCCACCGCCTGTGTGTTCAGAGGTAACTCTTCATCACATTGAGTTACATGGTAGTTATAGTTACATTAAGTTTTAATTTTATTTAATTTATTAGACATCAGAAATTCTGAGGAAACTGCACTACCGGCTCCTGGTGAGAAAGTATGTTAGAGGCATCACACCACAGAGAAAAGCTCAGGTACTGAATTCCCAACAACAATTTTATCAAAACAATTACAAGAACTTAATTTAGCCTTGAAGGGCACTTTAAGCACATTGAGCACATACAAGAATAATTTTGTATTTCTGAACACTCACACATATATAACATGTATTTTCAGCTTCAACTAAAACTTGTGGCTAGTACACTCTTCAAGGGAAAAAAGGAGAGTTATCCACAGAGCATTGCACAACCCTTTGTGGACACCAGAATTAGTAAGAAGCACAGATGTTTGAAATTTTGATGTTACTGCATAAGAGTTATTTTACAGTGTTTTTTCCCAGATGAACAAGATATAAACCCAAGAGTTATTCAAATGATTCGGAATGAACACATTAAGGTACTATATATATGTATGATAATGCATGAGAATGAATAAGCCCACTAACAGTTATAGTTTATTTAGTATACTGTACCAGTGATAAAATATGATAGAAATGGATTCAAGCCACGCCCCAGGCAGCTGATCCTCACACAGACAGCTGCTTATGTAGTGGACGATGCCAAGATTAAACAGAGGGTGCTGTACACATCTCTTAAAGGTGAGTGTAACCGTTTTAAGTTACAATCAAAATAAAATCATGTGGTAATGTAAAGTTTTGCTTCTCAGGGATATCAGTCAGCAGTTTGACTGATGCCATTGTGGTGTTCCATATCACTTGCGAAGACCCCAAACAGAAGGTATACAAGCTTGTTTATATTTGCAGCTCTTAGAGCTCTGTACAAGCATGTCCAAATCAATAAAACTGATATTCTCGCAGAACGTAAGAATACATTCTATTGTTTCAGGGTGACCTTGTCATGCAATGTGACTACTTGTTTGAATTTCTTACTAAACTCAGCGTTATTGCTAATAAACGGGATGCCATCCATGTGGTTCAAGGGAGGTATGCTCTTGATATTGAAATACTCAAATTAAGTCTTAAGTCTAAGTCTCTTATGAATTACAGCTTTTGGTTTACTCCCCCCCAGCATCAAGATCGAAGTCCAGGCAGGAAAAGAGAATGGTGTGGATTTCAGCATTGGACCAGAGCCCATGGTTTACAAGGGCAAGAATGGACACCTCATGGTGGTGAGCATTGTGTGTTTGACAGAGCTGTGTCTAAAGAGCCACAGAGACTAAGGGCTGTTTGTCACTCCAGGTTACCACACGGACCAGGACACGGTAATGTGAGGGAATTGGAGAGACACTCAAGACAGCCCTGCATATTTCAGGAGACCTCTTTGAAAGAGATTAACCTGTCCACAGACTACAGAAACATGCACTTTTTAGAACTCAGTGAACTTTTTTTTTTTTTTTTTTTTAATATAAACATGCATTATACACTACATTCTTTCTGATTCATTTACTGATAATGCTGTTTCTTGCAGTATTAATGTTCTGGCTTATTTTGTGTCAAACAATATTTAGGGCATGGTTTCAGATTTTAGCTAAATGTAGCCATATATTTCTTAATTTTGTATGTAAGAAATTGACAGTATACAAATAAATAAATAAATCTGCTTTGTACAAATTTATTTTATGATAAAGTAGTATTAAATATAAAAAAATGAATTGTGTTAAAGACATACTTCAGCCATATTGTGTGCAAACTGTTCATTTTGATGAATGTGACAATAAGGGTCTGGTTTCTTTCTGGCTATTGTTCAGTCTATAGTTCAAACTTGGGAAGACAGGGTTCCCTTCCAGACCTCAGGTTTCACTCACTCATTCAGCCACCATCATTCATTCATATACAGGTTTAACTACGTCACAGCTCACGCTTCAAACACTGGCTAACAGTTTCTGAACAGAGACAATGTAAAAAAGTGGTAGGAAATGTGTACACACTTCCCTAATACATATCTTACAAGTTTATAGTTTCATGTGAAGGTTAACTTGGTCATATACAGACTTGAAAGTAGCCAATGGGAAAACTAAGAACACATTGCCACCAAGTGGTACAACTAAGTAGGTCACCCAATATGTTCATTTGCAAACCAGCCGAAAGAAAGCACTTGTTTTTTGTATACCAAAAACACTAGTCAGCTATAATAAAATAAATATTATTTTACTTAATATAATGTAGTCTAATGACTTCAAACCAAAAAACAGACAGTAAAGAAAAATCCCCTTGTCTCATGTAGGGTTGATTCAAACACGATTATGGAAAAAGATATAAAGACGAATTGCGCAACAATGATCACCATAGAGAGTATAGACAAACAACCGCAAACACAGAGAATATCAAAACTGCACTAATGCAAACCATTGTCCTATACTCCCATTGTAGTGATCTCAAGAAGAGACAGAAAAGCTGGTGAAAAAAGTGAAAGATTGAGAAAGATGTCAGGCATAGTAAGGCACAAGCACGGTGCAAAGAAAGTCCAGATTCTAAGACACAGGGTGAAAGGTCCAAGATCACTGATGGTGGTGTGTGCGGTCATCAGGGCGTTTGATATGAATTCGCCGAACTCTTTCAATACGTTCTCGCTCTTCATCTTCATCCAAATGATGGGATCTCCCTGCAGCTCCACCTGTTGCTTCCAAAAGGGCATTATCGGGACCCCTTCCATCATGGGACTCATACAGAAGGATGTTAAGGGTCTCCTCATATATTCTAGCCTCTGGAAACTCAACCTGATAGAAACAGAGAGCAGCTTTGAATGATAATATATACAAAATTGCATTATGACACGTGGAATGGGAATACGGTATTTACCTTTGTTTGTTTCTTTTCTGTAGCATAGACAATAGAAGTACAACAGATTTCAGCAATTTTCCGACCCTGGCCATAAAATGACCAGCAGCAGATCTCATCCCCAATGACATCTTTAATGAACAGTACCCGACCATTGAACCTCAGAGACAGCTTGTCAAACAACTCTATATTCTTTAACATGTTGTCGTCTGAATTGCTGAGATATCAAAGAGAGAGAGGTTTTCTGAGAACAAAATTTCAAATCTCCATTATGTTTAAATCAGCGGCAAAATAACTCACCTGGTATATGAGTATTTGTTGTTGCTTCTATTATACAGCAGTTTGACAGTAGGCTGCACAAAGATATAATTTTAATAACCACAGTTCAATCAAATAATACAAAACATCAAGATATTGTTACTATTCTCTTACCTTATTTGATGTGGCAATAAGTCTTTGCTCTTCTTTAGAAGAGGTCATCAGTGGCACTTTACAAAGAGGTTCATATGTTTCTTTGTTCTAATGGAAGAGTATTCATCATTAGAATGGTTAAATAAAGATGCAATGCTACAATTGATAGAAGCAGACCTGTAATGCAGCTGTACATTCGTCAGCCAGGCCCTGTACGAGATAGTACTTCGCCTCAGCAAGAAGCTCTTCTGTCTCTCGACGACTGTCTGGAAGTGGCACAGCCCCATCTCTAAGGTAGTTCAAGATTGTGCCAAAATGCTTACCACAGCGATCAATCAATATCCAGCCTACGATCAACAACACTGTAAGAACCTGCTTTAGTTTCAAAAGATCACATGCCATCACATGTAACCAACCTTCACTATCAGTAAGGACTTCCATCCTGCCACTGAACATAGCCTTCAGCATAGTGTCCTGTTTAGTTAGTGTCTGCATGGTAGTGTAGTACAGGGCACCCCCCACATTAAGCTTCACATATTTGGAACTGGGACTGGAGCCTTTAAAGGACGTGGTCCGAGTTGTAGCTGCTGGCACTGCCGCGCTCACCACACTCTCACCTGACATCTCTTCCTAAAAATGTTAAAAAAAAAAAAAAAAAAGAGAGAGAAAAGAAAATAAGATAAATAAACTCTTAAAATTCTTTTTGAAAAAGTGGCGCAACAATTAATATGGCTACGGAGGGCCAAATATATCAGGAGATAAATCTCTGAAGAGTACTCCCCAAAAACAGTAATGCTATTAAAAAAAAAAAAAAAAAAAAAAAAAAAAAGCATACAATTGATACCAAAAACAGTAAAGAAAAATAGTATTTTAGTGATTTTTATGCTAGCCTGACAAAAAAAAAAGAAGAAAAGTTCAACCATGCTATGACACTTGCTTAATAAAGAAAGAGTTCCAACTGTTGACAGGAATACATTACAGCAAAACATTTAATGATAACAATCACCCGTAATATAATCAATATTCACCATAGAAGCCACAGCAATCCTCGAATTTGTATCTTGCTAACGCTAGTCAGCTAATTCGGCTAACACCCACTTCCTTCTGACCTCGGGCTGCGCAGTTATGAAAATGACGTCAAGTCAAAGGCATTAAAGTGATACTACAGTGTTTGTCCGCAAAATATAGATTAGGTTTTCATGTTTAAATGAAAGCAGTGACACTAGAAACTAACGTCAGACTGCTCAAAAATAACAGCGTTAAAGCTGTGATCAAATAAAGAGAAACACTGGCCTTTCCACACATTTCCGCTTGGGATGTGTAACCGTGAAAACAGTCCCCCTCTGACCCTCCCAAAACGGGTTATTGCCTTGTCAATTTAAGCAAAAGGTACACTATTAGCTTAAGCGGCAGAATGATATTGGCAATCGCGCAAAAATAAAAACAATAGCTACTACGTTTAGAATCTGCGACTCGATCCGGAAACATTTGATGCGACACAAGGGATTAATGGCTGTAGTCAGTTAAACAAGACGAAGCATTTTGGCATTGTTTACGTTTCATTACGGTGGATTGTCTGCGCGTTAATTACGGTAATCATCAATGACCGAATACTAAACGCCAGGGAATTAATTAGAGTCTACAATTGGATTTGAAAATCAATCTTGATGTTGTAGCAATCCTAGTAACGATTAACTGGACCACCTCCGTTTGCTAACTCTCAGTCTGTTTACTGCATCTTGCGACCTTAGCTCTAAAATGACAAGTTGTCATTCATCTGTGATATGACTTGCACTTGCAAGAAATGTGAAGACCACCAGATGAATAAAAAGCTATAGTAAAGGGTGAGCCCCTAGGCTCAAAGAACATTTTATTTGGGAAAACACTAAATGTAAGTAGACCTTTACTGAAATGTTTACATGTGGTGAAAGTTAATTTGTACTATTTTGACTCTACGGATTTACTGTGATTACAAAACAGTGCAGTTATACAGTTTTATTATTTTCCAGGGGGCACAATGTTTACTGTTCCTCAAAGTTCCAAATCTGAGTTTCTGGATAAGGCCAGACAAGCCAGGGAGGAGAGGAAAGGGCAGAAGGAAAAGGAGAAAGCAGCAACCACTATTCAAGCTGTTGTCAGAGGTTTTCTCTGTCGCTCCAAGCTCCAAAAGGAAATAAGGTGATAACAATTAGACATTTAAGTGTTAATCAGCTAACCATGGTAAAATGATTTCCTACTTATCATTTTATGTTTTTTTGTTTGTTTGTTTTTTATTAGGAAAGAGATTGATGACTATTTTGAAAACTCTGAGGCGACCACATCGAAAAGAAATGCACTTTCTATTTTTAAAATTACCCGTAAATTATTATTCGTGTACCGTCAAGAGGACAAGCATGTGAGTCAACTTAAATATTTATTTTGTGCAAGAGCCAAGACTTTACATTCCTTTAAATAATAGACAGAGACATTTACATGAATTACTACTTTTTATATAGAGATTTGAGAAACTGTGCCGTGCTATTCTTGCCAGTATGGAGGTTGAAAATGAGTCTAAAGTAAGTACATTTATCAGTTTCACTGTTGAGGTATCAAACACTGTCTAATCAATTGAAATTACATTCAGTGCAATTATGCATGTTCCATTTACAGGTTTGGTATGTGTCTTTGGCACTTTCTAAAGACCTCACTATTGCCTGGCTAAAACAGATAAAGGATGTATTGTGGACTGCTTGTGTCTTGCTAAAAAAATTAAAGGTGTGTTCATATGCATAAGGAAACAATATTCCATATTACCATATTATGTCAAACTAATAGTCCTTTTTAACTTGCAGCCCGACATACTTCAGGACAATAAAATCATAACCTTGTATCTCACCATGCTGGTGACTTTCACTGACACTTCTACTTGGCGAATAGTCAGAGGAAAAGGTAAATTCCACATTACTTAACTATACCAATGCCAAGAGATGCCACGATGCCATTGTTCACTGTTATTTTTAGGTGAAGCTCTAAGACCTGCTCTAACAAGAATCTGTGAAAATATTATGGGGCATCTCAACCAAAAAGGGTTCTATTCAGTATTACAGGTTAGATATACATATAGTAATGTATTAAGCTGTAGTAAGCAATACACTTATACTCAAGTGCATTTCAATATACATTTTTTGTCCTTTAGATTTTACTGACCAATGGCTTAGCTCGTTCAAGGCCATCTCTCTCTAAAGGAACTCTAACTGCAGTCTTCACCCTGGCGTTGAGGTCAGTAAGCATAAATGTTATTGATGGAGGATGGAGATTTTATGTTCAACTTCTTTATTTTTCTGTTTTTAGACCAGTTCTTGCTGCACATTTTTCTGATAACCTACTGAGATCATTCCTATTGCACATTATGTCAGTACCAGCAGTTGTGCACCACCTCAATGTCCTCACGCCAGAGGTATGTGTTGAAATCACACCTATGTATGGTTATTTCATTTGTTGTACAATATAGATTATATGTAGATCTAAAAATTCTGTTATTTTACAGTGTATGGCAACCATTCAGACACACGACCTTCTACGGAAATTTATCTTGTTTCTCAGCCGGGAAGAACAGTGCTCAGATATATGTGTGTGTTTAGAGGGAAGTCACACCCTCTGCTTACTAGGTATTGCACATTAAAGAACATTTGATATAATGTTATAATGTACTTGTATGCTGATACTTCATGTTTTACTTTTCAAGGAAATCTCATTCATTTGGGATACTATAATGAGAAAGTCCTAGAAGAAGAGGCAGGTCACTTTGTGAAGGATCTGACTGACATGTTGTCATACTGTCAGAGATATGTCTCTCAAAAGAAGTCTAACCTCACTCACTGGCACCCTGTCCTGGGCTGGTTCTCCCAAAGTGTTGACTATGGGTATGAGTAAAAAATACTGGGAGTTTATTGTAGTTACATGTACTCACATACACATATTTCTATTTCACATATCTTTTTTTAGTTTGAATGAGTCAATGCCACTGGTGACAAAACAACTTCAAAACCTGTGGGGTGTTTCAGTTATACGGACGCTCTTCAGTGATGTGCTTTCAAAAAAACTGGAGAGCCAAGAACCCAATCCTCCTCCACCCCAATCACCCCAACCAAGCACATCACAAAACAATCTACCAGTTAAAAGTGAGTCAACATTCAACAATCAACATTCAATATTACAATTTTAAATATAATTTGACATTATAATTGTGTTTCCATGTTTATGTTCAGACCTCTTCAAACGAGCTTTTCAGAAGTCAGCCTCTGTACGAAATATCTTGAAGCCTGTTGGAGGAAAGCGTGTTGATTCTGCAGAAGTTCAGAAAGTGTGCAGTATTTGTGTGCTCTACCAGACTGCACTGTCTACGCTAACACAGATACGGCTTCAGATACTCACAGGTCTGTCTGTTAAAGGCACAACTCCAAATGCAATATATAGCATGAATTCATTTAAAGTGGTTTTCCTCAGGTCTAACACATCTGGATGACCTTCTGCCTAAGCTATGGGCCTTTATTTGTGAGCTTGGTCCGCAAGGTGGTCTCAAACTATTCATGGAGTGTCTAAATAATGATACAGAGGAGTCCAAACAGCTTCTGGCCATGCTGATGCTTTTCTGTGACTGCTCACGACACCTTATCACGTAATTCTCTTGTTAAAATAGATTTTAAATTAATTAAAGTATGTTTAATAATGCATATTTTCTGCTGCAGTATTTTGGATGACATTGAGGTATATGAAGAACAAACATCTTTTAAGATTGAGGAACTCCTCACCATTTCCTCGTTTCTGAACACATTTGTCTTTAAGATGATATGGGATGGCATTTTAGGTAAATATGTTTCTTTGTACAACATAGCCTTGTCCCAAATTTCTAATTTTTGCATCTTACTCTTTATATTTGCTGTAGAAAATGCAAAAGGAGAAAAACTGGAGTTATTTCACAGTGTCCATGGCTGGTTAATGGTGCTTTATGAGCGGGACTGCAGAAGAAGATTCACACCCGATGACCACTGGTTGCGCAAGTAATACAGCTTTTCACAACATCAGTAGCATCCATTGAGAACAAACTCATTACACATCTTTTTACATAGGGATTTGAAGCCTAGTTTGTTATTCCAAGAACTGGAGAAAGGGAAGAAGAGAGCCCAACTTTTATTGCAGTACATACCGCATGTAATTCCTCATAAAAATGTAAGTTTCCTTTCTTGTGATATTCTTAGTATCACTTTAACAACAAAAAAACTAAACTAACTGGGTTTTGTTTTTGTCATTGAAGAGAGTGCTTCTGTTTAGAAATATTGTGACAAAAGAAAAAGAAACATTAGGATTGGTAGAGACAAGTTCTGCATCACCACATGTCACTCATATAACTATTCGTCGCTCAAGGATGTTAGAGGTATGAATAATTACATCTACTTACAATTTTTTTTGTTTTGGTTACTTTTTTCAGCTGTAATTCTTCTTATTGTAGGATGGCTATGACCAGCTGCGTAGATTGCCTGTCAATTCTATTAAAGGAGTAATTCGAGTGAAGTTTGTAAATGACCTGGGAGTAGACGAGGCTGGAATAGACCAGGATGGTGTATTTAAAGAGTTTCTAGAAGAGATTATTAAGAAAGTGTTCAATCCTGCTCTAAACCTCTTCAAGGTCAGTTCAGTAAATAATATCCATCCAATCTATTACTCTAATGAATAACCACTTTTGAAAACTGTATTTTTATAGACAACAAGTGGAAACGAACGACTTTATCCTTCTCCCACATCGTACATTCATGAAAACCATCTGCAGTTGTTTGAGTTTGTTGGAAAGATGCTTGGGAAGGCAGTGTATGAGGTAAAGTAAGCTTGACTGGCAAAAAAAATAATTTATGCTATGTTCTCATAATACATTTTTTGTGCATGAAGGGAATCGTAGTTGATGTCCCCTTTGCCTCCTTTTTTCTGAGCCAAGTCTTGGGTCACCATCACAGCTCCTTCTACAGCTCTATTGATGAGCTGCCATCACTGGACTCTGAGTTTTACAAAAACCTTACATCAATAAAGGTAAGTTGTGTTAGAAACAGTGTTGCTGCATCTGCTCAGGGCTTCAAAATGTTTTATGTTTATTTTTCTAGCGTTATGATGGAGATGTGGGGGATCTAGGACTTACACTGTCTTATGATGAGGATGTGATGGGGCAGGTAAAAATATATAGCAGAATATAACCTTAAATCTAACAATGAAACACATTATTTGAATGTTATTTCATCTTTCAGCTGGTTTGCCATGAATTAATACCTGGAGGAAAAACAATGCCAGTCACCAATGAGAATAAGTTAGTAATATGTTCATGTTATGATCAGTAACTCTGTGCTATTTTATAAATATGTTAGGATACTATTGTTAATTGTTTATTTTCATTATAGGATCAGCTATATCCACCTAATGGCTCACTTCCGAATGCACACACAGATTAAACACCAAACAATTGCCTTCATCCGTGGCTTCCGCAGTATCATAAATCCTGAGTGGCTGCATATGTTTTCCACACCCGAAGTCCAGCGCCTCATCTCAGGAGACAATGCTGAGATTGATCTAGATGACCTCAAGTATGTTTTTAATGCTTGTAAAATTACACATTGTAAGTAAACATTAGTGCTCCTATGAATTTCTATCTTTTTAGGAAACACACAGTGTACTATGGAGGGTTTCACAGCAGCCATCGTGTAATTATCTGGCTCTGGGACATTCTGTCAAGTGACTTCAGTGCAGAGGAGAGGGCCATGTTCCTCAAAGTAATCAATTTTATGTAACATAAACTTAATTAATTAGTCAAGATGATTTTTGTTTCGGCAAAAAAAATTCAGATTTTTTTTTTTTTGTAGTTCGTCACTAGTTGTTCAAGGCCGCCACTTCTTGGGTTTGCCTACCTCAAACCACCATTTTCCATCCGCTGTGTAGAGGTTTCAGATGATCAGGTAAGCATGTGCTCAGTCACATAACACCATCTAATTGCGTAACCAAATTGTTTAGTGCAATATTGATCTTTGTGTGTAGGACACTGGAGACACACTGGGCAGTGTCCTTAGAGGTTTTTTCACTATTCGCAAGAAGGAACCTGGTGGTCGACTTCCTACTTCATCAACATGCTTCAACTTGCTCAAGCTGCCCAATTACAGCAAAAAGAGCATTTTACGTGATAAACTGAGATATGCCATAAGCATGAACACAGGCTTTGAGCTTTCCTGACTCTTTAGCACACAACCTGTCTGCATAGGAGGGTGGTCACAAGCAGCCGCGCTGCACTGGTCAGAAAAAAATGAAACCACAGACAGGTTTCAATGGATGGATCTCAACATCTAAGGCCCTTCAGCCCGCTGTAAAGTGTTGTTTTGGCAGCACAATCAATTTTTTGGGATCTCTCTTCTTCCACTCCGAAAATGTAATATCTGTTGATTAAATTGTGAAAGACCATGGCTGAATCTGTTTCTCAGGCCTAACAAAATCATTCTTGGGTGTAACACTCCATTTCAAGTGAAGCAATACAGATGCAAGCTAATATATACATGATTCACTCATGCTGGTGATGCATTGTTAATATACTTAAAAGGTTGGATCCCATCACCCAGGACTTTTTTTAACCTGATACTGAATAGATCTTACAATGTTAGACTAAAGCTGATGCATCATTATGTCTGTGTATTTAGGAGTAGTTCCTCAAAAACACTGTCCTATTGCATTATTTTTAATTTCAATCTCGCACCATTTTACATCCTGAAAAATATGTAGGTCGGGGTTTGACCATTGGTTTAGAAGTTGACTTTAGCTAGTTTTAGTGGTTTGATAAATGTGTATGATGTCATAGATATAGAAAGATTTTATATATATATATATATATATATATATATATATATATATATATATATATATATATATATATATATATATATATATATCTTTCTGTATCTATATAGATATAGATAAAACATTTTCTCATTTGTATCTGCAGACACAACTTTGCTTTGTGTGGTAAACCTTTAATCATAACAATACCTAATAGTGTTTATATGTATCTAGAGAAACTTCCACTTTTATGAAGTGCTGAGTGCCTCATGTATTAAACCAACCTATCATGTTTGACTGTAACACATGTTAATGTATACTGGAAGCAAGCCATAGCAATGGGTAAATGTATACATGTACACTTATTATTACTAAAACATTTAAAAAACAACCAACCACTGTACCACTCAACCACAAGGGAGGGCTGTGCTCTGGAAGTTTTAAGCCATGTGGAAAATCGTAAGAGGCCACAACCTCAAACATGATGTCATGGGATTGGTTTTTGAACCAAAGGCTTGATAAGATTTTTCTTAAAATGACATTGTTGCACAAGTGTCTGCTTCGTTTCACTTGTGAAATGTTTTAAGAGGGGGGATGTGAACATATTAGCCTAGAAGCAACAAGGTTCAAAGCTGTTTGGAAGGGACTTTGCTAAAAGGCGTAAATATAATGCTAGAAATTTAACTCTTTTAACAAGTGATTTTATTATGCAAAATGATTTTACTCTTTCGAGAAACTTGTTGTGTTTCTAACCTCAAATATCCTTTACCACTAACTCATGTGGTGTAACTACATCTTACTTTGCCACTAAAAGATAAGCCTGAAGGAACTTTTGTCTTAAAAAATACATGTCTAAGATGAAGATGTGCTGATGAAACATACCTCAGAAATGTGTGTTTTGTGATGAGGTTTCTCATCAGTAATCAATGATGTCAAGCCTAGACAACATTTTAATGTACCAGTTGACTGCTAATGCTGACTTTGAATTTCCATTCTTTTAGTACAAAATAAAAGTTACTCTGGAATTCTGCAATTTTGTGGTTGTTTGTGTTTGTCTGTTACTTCATTTGTACCAAGCAGCTAGAACCCTCAGATCTAGCTGGAGATTGAAGAAAATTTCTCACTTCAGATTAGCATGAGGATTACGATTTGAGTGTGTATTGTTTTCAGTGTGTGCTTTCTGATCCATTTCATTAAAGAGAAGCTACTTTTAGAGAAACACCATGAGCAGTCCACCAAGCCCATCTCCGTCCCACTGGTTCAAAGGATTAAGAAGGTATGGTTTATATTTTATAATACTAAGAAGACAATGCTAAATACATAATAAAGATATGTTTGGTCAGTTATCATAAGATACAGAAACTCATAAAGTCATGAATGTAATGTCTTAATTGTGGCCTTCTGTAGTAAATTTATTGGGTTATTCTCAAATGTTTAAATGGTCACCATCACTTGATTGGCTGCTGTTGAAATTTTCAGTATCCCCTTTACGTCTAGGATTAAGCCTGTGTGTCACTGAACAGTTCAGAAAGGCCTCATTCTGTGTTTTTTGATTGAGAGAAATGAGTGTGAAATTTTAAGTTTGTCATACTTATCAGAGAAATGGGCATTTAAAGTGTAGAAGGTATTTAGGCCTACTCTTTGGAAAAATGAAAGCTATTTGTGGAACACTGTATTGCTGTTTTAAGACTCTGAGGACATATCCATTGGAGTGTGTGGATCTGCTCAAAAGGGCCAGAACTGCTTTTAAGGCTGGGCACACCCTGAAGGAGAACTCACGTCTGGCTCAGCTAGGGGCAGTTGTCTGAATGTTGGAAGAACATGAATGGGACTTTGTACAAGTCCTTGGAAAGGACCTACATAAAGTAGAATACATTTATTATTAAATTAAAAGATATGATATCTGGTATTAAACCAAACACTGAACTTGCATAAATGCATTCTGCCGCTTCGGGACAAAACCATTAATTGTGTTGGTCTTAAGTAGATTAAAATGTAAAACAATTTCTATTTTTGACTGTTTGACTTTGATACGTTTAGTTAGTTTCATTTTTATTATTTATTCAAGTCCACAACACTGGATGACCGTTACATGGTCAGCGAGCCCCTCGGGGTGGTATTCATTGTGGAAGGCTGGTGCAGTCCTGTCCAAATGTGTCTAGTGCATTGACTGCATTTGGTCAGGCCATAGCAGCAGGTGCAGCAAAACCATGAATTGTATAAATGTACAGCAATTGTTTGGCCTAATTTAGACATGTCAGACTCAGGCCCGGGGGCCAAATTTGGCCCGCAATATAATTATATTGGCCCACGAGATCATATCAAATATGTATTAGAGCTGGTCCGCCTTCTACAGATAGACTATAGAGACATATTTGTTCAAAATTTTGTTATTATTTTATATTATGCTTGTTCTAGATTCAATGTTTAAGCAAAACTATTATTAAATATTTATTTTAATAAGAAAAGGTTTAACATTACATATCCGGAAAGAAGAAAAAACATGCAGATGTTGTTGAAAATTTTCAATAAATATTTAGTTTGGCCCACGACTTAGTCCCAGTTTTTAATTTTGGCCCTGAATTTGAGTTTGACACCCCTGGTCTAATTAGTTTTGTTCATTCAGGAAACTGTGCGATCATAAATCCATCAGAGTACACTGTTAACACAGCTGAACTCCTTCATCATCTAATTCCTTTGCATTTGGACAATGTAAGTAAAAACACTGTAACAGAAGCTCCAAATTGTAATCTAATACATAATGTTGTTTTCAAGGAATGTTTCCATATGATTCTTGCCCTAAAAAATGATTTACCAGACATTGTGAAATTTCAGTTTAATCATGTCTTCTTGACAGGTAAAATCAGAAAAGAAATCATCATGCATCATTCATAATTATTTTTTTATTTTTATATTAATAACTTAACAGATAAACACATCAATAAATAATAGGAGCCCGTGAAGATGGGAACAGAATAGCTCAAGCCGCAGCCCGCACACTCACATCTGTTTCCATGGTTTTGGCAAGCAAGAATCTATGTTATGTGGAATAGCACTGGGACATTGTCACCACGGCACAGAGCATTGCCTGGGCGATAGTGGCCCCACACCACATTTCAAGGTTCAACTAGTGCAGGCTATTATGTGCTGCCTTATTTAAAACACAACATAATAATATTCATTGTTGTACATTTGGCAGCACCAACTATTTTGACAGATGTAGTGAACATGGATCTAATCGTGCAGCAGGATGTGTTTGGCCCAGTGCTCCCACTTCTCACTGTGCAAAATGTAGATGAAGCAATAACCTTTACAAACAAGCAACAGAAACTGCTGTGTGTTTATGCTTACTCCAACAACAGCAAAGTAAAATAATCTGCTTAAATTACTTAAAAAAGCACAGTAATGTGTGATAGTTAATATTAAAAATGTATTAACTATCATGAAAAGGACACATTTCAAAACATATAATAACCAATAAAACGACATAACACATGTATAAACGGTGCAAATTTTGGTTAATATTTGTATCTGCTGCAGGCCATCTCACAAATGATGAATGAGGCCTCTAGTGGAAGCCTTTGCTTTAATGACTGTGTCCTGCAGAGTCTCATGGTGACTCTTCCATTTGGTGGAGTGGGTAAGTAAGCGTACAACTCTTTTGATCCTTTTTTTATTCAAATAAATTGCTATGGTTTTTACTCAAACACTGAAATGGTACCAGTGGAACAGGTTCCCATCATGGACGCTACAGCTTTGATACATTTTCACATAAGAAATCATGCCTGTCTACGATCTGAGTGTGCCACCTATCTGCGCTACCCACCATATGAGGAGCGCACTTTGCCTCTAATGGCACGGGCCAGTACTCTGTCCCAGAAAAGTCAGGGCTGGTGCCAGTTCCTGTGAATGAAGATGATGGCAATATGATATTTGTAACATTATAAATGTTTTAAAAGTTATAGCAATAAAATATTACGGTCATACTATGCAATAAGGTATTCTTTATAATAACACACATAACCATATATTTGTGATATCAGGAGAAACATCTATGGGATATTTATAACTAAGTCAAAAGAAGCAGAAAGTAATACAAAAGTCTTACCCTTTTGGTTATTGAGGCCTCTTATAAATGTTTTCCCTTTTCCCTTCTTTCATTGCAGCATATCTGGCTACAGTGAAAAGGTAGTCACTCAGTCTAAATAAAAATAAATACATATACACTGGATATTAATGTATTGAGGAAATTATGTTCGTCTTGTAAGATATATTTTACTTACCGATTTAAAAACATGGCAACATCTGGATCTGCCTCCCCAGACCGCACAATAGGCACTACACTGCATCAAAATATCAAACAGTTAAAACAATACGAGAGACTCAATAAAAAAAAAAAAAATCAAGAACAGCCTACCTGCGTTCTGCTCTTCGACATATGGTCCGTGCTAAATGCAGAGCTGCACTGCTCTTTCCTCCAGACTGTGAAGCAATAATGTATTACAATAAGAAAAATGTTTGGCATCACATTTTCCTAGTAAATGCCTTACAGTAAGTACCTTACAGGTAAAATAAAATTTGTCAGTGGCGGAAGTTCTTCTGTAAATTTATCTATCCAGTTTTCTAAGTCTGTAGTTGATGAATTGTTAAACTGTGTTCTTTCTGAAGTAAAAAATACCAATATTTAACATACAAATGTAATGCTTAACAACACGTACTTTGAAGAAAAAACTGTGTTCTCACTTATGTGAATTTCTCTCGCTGATGATTGAGGTGTGGCAATGTTAGAGCCCACATCTTGTAAAATGCACTGTATCTGTTCAAAATATCAAAATTATGTTAGATACAGTTTGTGTCAGAAATGTGTTGATGTGTGCAAACAGAAACGTCACCTTGTCAAGCTGGTCTGTGAATGTATGACCTTTTTCAAGACAATATTCTCTGGCCAAACTGTAAGGTAATATCAAATTGTAACGTAACATCAATTCTAACTTTATTGTTTTAAATGAAAAAAGAAATTACCCTATAACTGATGAAAGTTCATCTGTATTTCCCAAAGCTTCAAAGATTTGGTTTTCCTTTGGTCTCCTTTCTCCTGTAAAAGTGCTGGAGAACCCTTTAAAACAGAATGAAAATTTATTATTACTGGTATTGTTCCACACCATTCTAACATTGTGAGTCTGATTACCTTTATCTCCAGTTTTAGTGTAAATTTTGGGTATTCTGTTGTTCTCCTCACTGGTGTAACTTATGAAAATAATTTGATTAGGTTAATTTACAGTCACTCGTGAATATGAGCATTAGCCTCTCTACCACAGTTAGTCTAAACTACAGACTACAATCTATGATTTAAACAAACCAAAACCAAATAGGGTCATTCCATGCCATTTCAACAAATGGCCCACACACTTCGATCTCAAAGAATTTGGAAAAAATACCAAATAGTCCCTTACTATCATGTACCAACCCTGTGAAATTTTAGTGATTTTCGATCATTACTTTATAAGTTACAGCTCAGCTTATGAGGAGAGTATGTGTCAATTTACAGGCCCAAAATCGTGTAATTTTTTCTCAGACATTTTCACAGGTCGATATCTCCTTAAGTATCACATATAGAGGGCTGAAATTTTGTAGGCTTGTAATCCTCTACTCTGTGTTCAAAAAACATCTATCAAAAGTTTGGTTTCTCAACTCATTGTCATTTTATATGAACTTAAAAAAGAAAAGTTTTTTTTTAGCCCCTTTTTAAACCTACTTGTAGGTGTAGGAGACCCTTACATTTTTTTTGACAATCAAGATATGTACTAGGACTGTAAAAAAAAAAAATAAAAATCACCAAATGTTGAAAATTTGAAATAAGTTATGTGTAAGGGTCCTGTTAAAAACAAGAAAACGTAACATGGTCCGATATTCACATGTAATTTATGGCATGTGGGTAGTGATACAATTTTTTTAAAATAATTTTAGTTTGAAAGACCAGAAAAAGACCTTTCATATGGTACCAAACATATGTATTTTATGAAGCTCCTTCAATTTTTAATTGTATCTTGAACATTCGCATTTTTGAGGTTTCTGTCATAGTGCAAGACACAATGACACGAGTATACAATGACCATGTTCTATGTTTTATTCCAGCAGCTAAGGTCACTAAACATTTAAAGACTGAATCAAATGGTTTGATAATCATTTTGATGTGACATGGTATCTGACAAGGCAACAAGTTATCTGACGTCCAAGAAAACAGCTGTAGTTTATTCTCATATTAAAGAAACAATCAAGTCATGTTCAACAATATGATATTGTCTTCCGTTAGTTGTGGACGGCACATTGATGTTCAAGACTATGCAAACTTTACAGTAGATTTAGGTGCGCAACTCAAACATCCGGAAGTAGCCAAGAAGTAAGAACACAGTTCCCTATCATGTTCGGATCGCCTGAGCAGGTAAAGAAAATCTTATGGAGCCTTAAATGGAAAGTGCTAAGGTTGTCTGTTTAAGGGAAATTGCAGGATTTGTGAGAATTTATTGCATACAAAAAATCATATTCATCTTTATTCTGGGGTGGACCTATATAGTTCCAACTCCACATTTGTTTTGAAGGTGTTTTTTTAAATTTTTTTTATTTTAAGGAGAGCCAATACATGTTTGGAACACCATGGGACCAAGAGCCTACTCCCAAGAAATAAATGAAGTACACAGTGCCCGATACAAGTTACAAAGCCTCACCACAGTCAACATGGTCAACTGAACCATCTAAAACCAGTCCACCAGGAATGAAAAAGCCACCACAGGTTGAGGAGAATTCTGGTGGTCAAGCTTGTGGAGACTGTCCATGCTGCCGTGACCTCGGCCAGAAAATCCAAAAGCTTCGGGACCAACTGCAGGTATATGAAGATGTGCCTAGCGATACTGCTGACAAATAAGACATGCATGTTCTGTGTTCTGTGTTTTTAGATATCTTGTAAGACATCCTGTTGATTTCTTCATGTTTGGGAGCTTTAGCTGCTGGAATAAAACATAGTACATGGTCACTGTATACTTGTGTCATTGTGTCAAATGCGAATGTTCAAGATACAATTAAAAATAGAAGGAGCTTCATAAAATACATGTTTGGTACCATATGAAAGGTCTTTTTCTAGTCTTTTAAACAAAAAATATTAATTTTTTTTTTTTATCACTACCCACATGCCATAAATTATGTGAAAATCGGACAATATTACCTTTTCTTGTTTTTAACAGGACCCTCACACATAACCTATTTCAAATTTTCAACATTTGGTGATTTTTTTTAACAGTCCTAGTACATATCTTGATTCTCAAAAAAATTTAAGGGTCTCTAACACATACAAGTAGGTTTAAACAGGGGCTAAAAATGGTACGCCACGGAAATTAACAAGTTTTTTTTTTTTCATTTTTAAGTTCATATAAAATGACAATGAGTTGAGAAACCAAACTTTCGATCGATGTTATTTGAACATAGAGTAGAGGAGTATAAGCCTACAAAATTTCAGTCCTCTATGTGTGATACTTATGGAGATATCGACCTGTGAAAACGTCTGAGAAATTTTTTTTGCGATTTTAGGCCTGTAAACTGACACATATTCTCCTCACTAAAGGAGCTGTAACTTGAAAACTATTGATCGAAAATGACTAAAATTTCACAGGATTGGTACATGATGGTAAGGGACCAGCTGGTATTTTTTTCAATTAAAAAAAAAAAAAAACATGATGCGTGAGATTTTCTGGAAAGTTTCTGAAATGGCGTGGAATGACCCAATGACAATCGTACCTTCTCTTTGAAAATACCACCCTGCAGCTTCGGTGAGCGGTCATAATCATTGTTATTCCGAGGCGAACATGACCAGGTCTTATTAAAAATGTCATGACAATGAACATGGAACTATAATAATGATAACGAAGAAGCTAACAGTTAGCTCTGTTAGCATAAGCAACTTGACACAAATGAGATCCTGTAGTGTGTGGGCGTTTCTTTAGTATGGTACGATTGGTTGTGTGATGTGAAACAGCGGAGCGGTGATTGGACAGGGCAGTAAAGACGTCGCTATCCTTTTCGCTGATTGGATGTTGGAAAAACGAGGCAATCACCATCCCATTTCCGAGTATTTTGGAGAGCTTTTTTTTTTTTTTTTTTTCACGCGACAGAGGCACAAATGAGTATCAAAGTAATGTGGATGTTTCTTTGGAGTGATTTCAGATCAGGTCTGGCCTTAGACTGAATTTTTACGGATAATGTACGGACTGTTTTGAAGTATTTGCCGTTGAAGCTTCAGGAGATTAACGTGAGCTAAAAGAAGCTAGTAGTTATTGCTAATAATACAACCCGTTCAAGACCAAATCACCTTTTCAGAAACATTGCTGTAATGCATGTAAAGGAGTGCATCCTGTCTGCTCCAGGGAAGGCGATACTACATGGGGAGCATGCTGTTGTGCACGGAAAGGTACCACTCTTTAAAGCAATGTTTACAATGTTAGAAAACGTAAATTGTCTAAATTATAATACATTGTGTTTCAAGGTGGCCATTGCCGTCAGTTTGAATCTGAGAACATATTTACGATTAAAAGCTACCAATAATGGTAAAGTTCACATCAAATTCCCCAATATCAACACCTTCCTCTGTTGGGATCTGACAGAACTAAAGCTACTGGTTCCTGATCCTAGTGGTGAGAGACACATTAATATTAATAATTACATATTCTCAGTGTACCTCTGCTCTCTCACTGAACTGTGTTGGCAGGCTTCAGGTCTTTTGATTGTTGTTTAGAAGTCAAAGTGTCTTCAACAAATTATTTTATTTGTTTGTATTGCAGGTAAAAAGGAGGAAGGCAAACTCCTGAATCTTGAATTAGTAAAGTGTCTGCGGGAGTTTGTCGGAGTAACTAATGGAAACTTGGACACATCAAATATGGCTACTCTGGCATTCCTTTACAGCTATATATCCATCTTTGGGACAGGGTAAGGGCATATCAGTGCACACTTCACTTCAGCTATCTAGCATAAAAAGAAAAGAAAAAAATAAATAAATTTTGAGAAAGAACAAATACGTTGTATTGATGTTTAACAAGAAAGTGTATTGTCATCTTGATATTTTTAAAGAATGGTTTATTTAAGTGTTTTGAGTACAGTTGTTCTAAATTTTTAACTTTTTAACCTAGACTAATTCACTCTGTATATGTCTTCTTTTTGTTCTTGTAGTGAACTGCCCAGCTTAACAGTGACTGTGTGGTCTGAACTTCCCACTGGGGCAGGACTAGGATCCAGTGCAGCCTTCTCTGTTTGTTTGGCTGCAGCCCTGCTCTGTGCAAGTGGTGCAATCACTGCACCCCTCAGAGAATTAGAACACACTGCTAGGTAAGGTAATACAGAATGGTTTCTGCTGTTCAAAGAGTGAGGTGTAATGAGGTGATAATTTGGTGTTGTAGATTGTGATATGACAATATAAAATCAAATAATGATTTAATTTTGAGGCAGTCTACCTGTGCGGGTACTTTCCCATCCACTCTCTCTATCAAGTCACTATAGATAATTCCCATGAAAATTCCTTAAATGAAAAGGAACAGAAAAAAGGAGAGAGCAAGCTGTAAATCTTCGCTTACAGTTCATCTGTTACAGGTGGTGTCAGGAGGATCTAGAGCTAATCAATAGTTGGGCGTTTAAAGGGGAGATGATAATTCATGGCAATCCCTCAGGAGTTGACAATGCTGTTGGAACATGGGGTGAGTTGGCCTCCCTAAAAATAAAACAAAAATGTTAGAACAAAACATTTCATAATTTTAAGACTTCTTCCTTTTTCTTTATAGGTGGGATGTTGAGATTTCTCTCAGGGAAAATTATACCACTAAGCAGGTACACATTATGGCATTATACAACTGTGTGTGTACTTTTTATTACTTTTCATTTCTCTAAATGTATTTTTCACAGAGTACCACTATTAAGAATCCTACTGACTAACACCAGAGTGCCTCGTAGCACTAAAGTACTTGTGGCTGGAGTGAAGGACAAAATTAATAAGGTGCAACTGTTTCTTCTTTTCGCATATGTGCTTTGTATTTAATTATATATATATATATATATATACACACACACACACACACACACACACACACACACACACACACACACACACACACACACACATACACACGTGTGTGTGTGTGTGTGTATATATATATATATATATAAAAATAGTGGTGTTAACAGACACTAGTGCTTATCAAAGTCTTTTCTCATAAATTATTCAAATTAAACTGTTAGTGTTGTTTTTGTGAGCTGTATCTTTGTACAGATCAACAACTGTATATGATGTTTGTGGCACTGAAATTGTTTCCAAAGTAAACAAAATGAATCACACATATTTATACTCTATTTAATCAATTAATTTACTCAAGTACCCCACATAATCTAACCCACATAAGGGATTTTGCAGTATTATGTGCAAATGAGATAAAATAATGCCATTGTTTTATTAAGTTATTTATCATTATTCTATTGATTCAGTTACATTTTATTTTTTTGCTCTATAACAGTTTCCTACAATTATGACTCCTGTGCTTGACTCGGTGGATGCCATTTCCTGCACTTGTGAGAAAGTGCTTTCAGAAATGACCCATGAGCCAATTACCGGAGAGCACTACAACATTCTTGAGGTAGGAAGTTAATTTAATTCGGAACCTAATTTATCCTACACTTACTTATGTTACAGATAAAATGTTCTCAAAATACATGTTCTATACAAGTTTTCCTTTTATGTACTTTTCAGTACTTATGTGCTTTAACCTATACTTTCTTTAGGAGCTCATTGACATAAATCAACACCACCTCAATGTCATGGGGGTGGGACATCCGACTTTAGACACATTATGTCAGGTCACACTGGCCAGAGGACTCCACAGTAAACTCACTGGAGCAGGAGGAGGAGGCTGTGGCATCACTCTTCTCAGGCCTGGTAAGCTCATTAAGTACTATATTAAAGGACAGGACACTTCTGATTTCTTAAAGATTTAAACTGTTTAGTATATGTGTTTTGTATGTAAGTATTGGTCCTTGCTTCATGTAAGAGCTACTTTTACGAAACGGAAAAGGCAGAGAGCTACTTCTGCTAAATGTAAAAAAAATTGTCAATGTAATGCTGACAGCTAGCCTTACATGGGGTACAGTTAGATGCCTATCAAACAATAAATATCCATTTGTTGCAGATATTAGCTAGGTATTAAATTTTAATGGGCATGAGAGTAATCAAATGTATTTGTAATATTGTTTTACTTTTTGAAAGCAGATTTCCAATTGTTTAAATTTAACTTACAGAAATGCTAACAGTTGTGGGAATGCAACTGGATGATTGGAATTAAACAAGTGTGTCTGAGGAAATGACAATAAGACAATATGCATTAAATATTATGTCTTGTATTCTTTTTTCTGCAGAAACCAGTGCTTCTGTTGTCCAGGGCACAGTGCAAGATCTTAGAGACTGTGGATTTGATTGCTGGGAAACAAGCATTGGTGGTCCAGGCATTCAGCAGCACTCACCACATGCAGTTAAGGATGACATTTTAGAGATTTTAAACCAATAGTGACCTAAATATTTAACCTTTTTCTATTTAATCTACTTGTTTACTACTCTGACTGCCACTTAAGGACTACTACAGTGGTCACATGGATGCAGTCGATACTTTATTAATAATGAATTAATATTACATTACCTTATTACCTTATATTATTAGTATTACCTATTTCTAAGGCCAGATTTTTGTGACTTGTGCATAAAAACACAAATGTATGTAATTTTTGAGTTTGTCAATTCTGAAAAAATATTTTAAAACCTAGTGTATGTAATAAAAGTGGTAAAATAAATGCTTGTTCATGTTTAATTAACAAGGCAAAGGAGGACATGGTTGTTTGCCTTCTGTAATGCATGTTTTGGCCAATAGATGGCTGCAGAGGTACATATACAATTGCCAAAGAAGTTTAAAAAGTTTATTATTAACTCAAGTAATTGATTTGTTCACATTAGCTAAACTATTTTATGTTCTAGGAATTGTTATAATTATTATCTAAAGGTATGAGACATGAAGCCTTTGAGGGAAATGCTGTGTACTTCAGTTGTGTTTTTTCAGTTTGCGCAAGTCATCCATTAAATTATATGTTTATTATTAACTTCACTGGAGAATTTAGGTATTTATACTAGTAACATAAGTGTTGTTGTGCTAACAGAGGATGAGGACAAAGGGACAACAGGACTGAGTGGCCTCTCGAGAGCCTCTGGATTAGTGGCAGTGAAATATGAATCATGTACCAGCATCTCTCCATGAGTCACAAATTAGTGCTGACACTTACACAACAGCCTTCTCCACCTCATCATCCTAAAAGCATTGCAACATAGAACAAATGAAATGTCCAAATCAAAAATCTTAAACTGAGGAAAATATCATTGCAAGAATTAATTTTTTATATTTGTATCAAATGCTGTGAAGACTAAGGAGTTCAAATCTCATAGAAAAAAAGCACATTTGTCACCCTCCCTTTTATTTCGCCCAGCATCCGCCTCTGTCGTCTTGAATTGTGTCATCTTTATGTCAGGGCAGCCCCCCGTCAGCATGCCACACACTCGCCCCTAACCCCTGCTGGAATTTAATTACCACTGTGCTTTTCAATTGAAATGGCATTGACAAGGGTGGACAAGAGGGACACCACGGGGCCCGCCTCTCTCTTTCCTCGCTCGGTTTACCCCTGGGAGGCACAGATGTTTTTTTTGTTTTTTTTTATCAATGTCAGTGCCTGCTTCTTTCTGCTCTGATGAATAGAAACCACCGTGGCTCAGAGATTATTTCAGATAAAAGAGGGAGTTAGGGAAGGGGTCAAGAATGGAGGGGGAGAGTCAAAATTAGAGAGGTTTAGTAAAAAGTGTCTCAGAAGGATGACTTTCAGATAGTTTGACATAAATTAGTGGAGTTAGAGGAGTAGTGGAGTATGCCATTCAGGCATATTATTATGACCACTGACAATGAATTTCATAAATTATCCTCTTATAGCCTTTATTTAAGTGTGTGGCACATTGTAAGAGAAATATTTTATTCTCCTACAGCTGTTGTGCTAGAAGTATGACAAATTGCACGTTTTGAGAACACTGCAGCTCTTATAGGTGCTACTGGTCTCCAGTGGTCAGTCAGTGTCTAACAAAAGTGGTCCATGTATCATGATATGACATATCTAATGACCATTAATAATATGTATGATATTGTACCAAAGCAGTATAACATTTCAAATTTGCTGATTGGCCTCTGGGATTTTCTTCATAGTTTCTCAGTTAAATGGTGAATGCTTGTCAGGAGCTAAAATAAAAATAAAATGAATAAAAAAGAATTTGCTTGAGCTGGACAAGATATCACGTTTTGGATGTCCCCTGGTTCACTGCCTGTGTATAACGAAACAATATTTGCTATGTGTATGTCATCTGTTGCTGTGTGTACGTATTATCTGGCTTTATCAGCTGTGACAGCGGCAATGTCAGCCTCATGAGCTCCTCTTGGCCTTGATGGGTCTGATCCTCTTGGGGGTATTTGCCCTTTCATTGTGTGGTATAGTGCATGAATCGAGGGGCAAGGGTCAGATTAACACAGTAGACCAAGGAAGTTAAGGCGCTGAAGAAAAGTTGAATTGTTCTCTCAGTCTACACCTTCCACAGTGTTCTTTTTCACTATTTGAAATACTGAACCTTTACCCCTGACAATCCTATACTCTATTGTAGACAATTTTTGTATCAGATTATTTGAACTGGATTTGTTTTTTAACCAAGTATTTATTTTGTTTGAATTATGAAATTTAATGTAATCATAATCATAATGTAGCTACAGCTCTATACATTCCTCATTATCTGCTGCTCTGTTGTTGCTGAGCACTTTTTTTTATGTATTTCTTCCTCGAGTGAATAATGATGTGTCCTATTTTAGGAGGATATCTTAGGTTGAAATAGCCACAAATGTAATTGCAAAGTTTGTGTCAGTGTCTATTTTGAATTTGTGTATTTAGCCCATTTGAATCAAAGTCTTCCTTATCTGTGTTAAGGATTATCCTTATTTCAGTGGCTTTAAATTCGATTAAATATGAACAAGCTTCTTCAATTTATTTACAGTGTGAACATGTGTATTACCCAGGCTTTTAATAATTATGGCAAGAAATGAATGTAAGCTCTGTAATCCGCAGCATAGGGTTTATTTTTCACACATATAAACTGGCAGTGTGATGCATGCAGTGCATTAGGGGCTATGGAAAACAAAAATACCCTAAAACAAAATTAATTTGCATGAATTCAAAAAACATCTTATCTAATGTTCTTACTTTGAACCCATTTTGAATTAGAAATGGATTCTCATAATTTCCCTGGGACTGCGGCCAATTCATTAGAGTTTTTTTTTCAACTGTGGAGGGAGTATAATCAAAATGTTATCTCAAGACACAGTGTGATTGATGGACTATTAAAATGTCAGCCAGATATACTTTAAGCACAGCTTTGAGTTTGATAAATCATGCCACAAATGGAAACATAAAGCTGTACGAAACAAATATTCCCAGCCAGTGCAATCTGCAGTTAGACATAATGAATTTTCTATTCACTTTGAGTCTCTGTCTCTCAGTAAGCCTGGTTTATTTCTCAGGTTTCCTCTTGTCATGTATTTCTAAACCTCTGCATCTGTGTAATTACAATGGGACAGGTAGGAGGGTTCATATTTCATCTGCTGCATTCATGATAACATCTAATAATCTGAAAGCGTTGCAAAATTGGTATCTCGTTGCTCATGCATTATGAATGAGTTACTGATTGCTTTTTTGCATAGATTAGCAATCATTTCACAGAAATCTTTTCTATAAAAATGTGCCAGGAGGGCTCTATCTCTTTCTCTGAAGAGTGGAGGTGACACATCTCGCTGCTTTTTTAAGATAAGACGGATCAGGTGATAGCACTTCTACCCTCTGCCCCTCTTGCACTCTGATTTATTTCTCTATGCATATCATCTCAGGGGGGATAAGTGTAATTTTCAGCCCACTTTGCTTCTGATTGCTCAGTTAGTGAATATATTCGGCATCTGCAGTGTTATTGTGTTGGGAGTCAAGTGCCCCCAAGATTCTTCTTTGATATAAAAGTAAACATTTGAGGACTCCAAAAGTGAACTGACAGAGGCGACACTGCTTCTTCTCACTGACCTTTATGTGTCCTAACTTGTTGGCTTAGATTGGCATAACACATGGGACCGGTATGGTCTAGTGGGTAGGAAAATAGGCTGGTGACCTGGTTGCAGTGTAAGGTCCCAGTTAAGGTTTACATACCACTTCAGTTTCCTGTCAGGCAAATAACCTGCCTCACAGACGTTGCAATCTGTAGAATGTGTGAAAAGTCAAATCTGTACTACTCATTCACAAGGTGGTACCTTTTTAGAGAAGTATTTAGTTTATTATGATTTATTATGCACCTGTCAGCAAACATTTATGATAAAGCTACATAATACATGAAAGACTAGTAATGAAACATAATACTTGTCTACTAATAATGTGTCTGTGGGTGTATATCTGCTGTTTGGTGTCTCCTTCATGACCCCTGACACTTGCTCCTTCCTCAGATGGGCAGCCTCTGAGCCAGGGTCCTGTGGAGGCTGGTGCCCTCTGCCTGACAGCTTGTCAGTGCGGTGCTGGTGATTTTTTCTGCAGGAGATGGTGTCTGATTGGGAGCAGTGTGTGAATAGCCCTGTCACACTCGATAAGCCAGCAGGACGACCTGTGACGGGGACATATGGCATGTTTGACAGGGAGAGAGGCTGAGAATCGCACTGAATGATAAAATGGTGTTTTTCCCCCTTCGGCAATGTCATGCTTTCAGGCGAGCGTGCGGACCATCGCTCACTCAGCTGACTGACTCCGGCCTCCCTGTGACATCTCCTTCAAGGTCCCGGGTCTCTGCGTTTTGTGGCTGTCCAGTTCTGACACAGCAAGTCCGGGCTTCACACAAGACCTGTGTGTGGTGGATCACAAGGGGAACATAACCATTCAAATGAACAGTGGCACAAATCAAGATACTTTTATTTCAGAAATTCAGAAAAAAAAAAAAATATATATATATATAAAGATAATATATATATATATATGTTGATAACTATTTAGTAAAAAATATAATGTATAAATAAGGGTAGTTGCACAAGTATCAATTTTGGAGCTGAAAGAGGTAAATCAAAAATGAAACTGTATTTTCTGGCCTCAACTACTACAACCTATTGGTTGTAGTAGTTGTGGTACTACAGTCCTACAAATAGAATAAATAGTAGTGCAATCTTTACTAAAACCATAATTAATAATAATAATAATGCTTCAGTTTTATATAGCACTTTTCTGGACAGTCAAAGACGCTTTACAGATCATTATTCAGTCAATCCTCACTTGGTGCTGGTAAGCTAGTGTTGTAGCCACAGATGCCCTGGAGCAGACTGACGGAAACAAGGTTGCCTATCAGCGCCATCGGCCCCCTCCGACCATTGCCCTAATTCACATACACACCACATTCATACTAGGCAGGCTGCCTAAGGACATAAAGACAGTTTTAGCAATTGGCGTCCCACTGTGGCACCTGATTTTCCAAGAGTTCTCCCATCCAAGTAGTACCCAGGCCTGCTTCTTATCTTCTGAAATCTGATGGGTTCAGGCTTTGACAAACTGATATGGCCACATTGTAATTGTAGTTCATCTTGTAACAAGTAGTAAAGATATTGCAACTTTTTTCTGTAAATATTAGTACATTTTGACCTCCTCCTCAGCGATTAAAATCTACATTCATCATTACTAATTTTCATATCTATACTTTCAGTAGT